AGCCTGGGCCCCCAATGCCCATGGGGAGCCACTGCAGTGCGGCTGTCCTGGAGGTGAGGGGGAGACCAGGAGAGGAAGCTTCGAAGGCCTTAGAAGGCCAGGTGGGGGTCCTGGAGAAACTGGGGTGAGTTATTGATGAGGCTCCAGGAGCTGTGCTCTTCACAGTAGGGGGGTGCTCAGGACTCATTTGTTGGCACGGGTAGGTGTGACTGCGTGTTGTCACCCTGTGTCCTTGGGGACAGTGTTCTGAGCACTCCCCTTGTTCAGGGCCCTTCCCCGGAGCCCAGCCATGGCGGGAGATTCTCCAAGGGCAGTCCCGCAGGGCTTCTGGAAGCAGCATGGCTCCAAGCTCTGGTGGGGCCCTGCCACCACCACCTCCACCTGGCCCCTCCCAGCCCGCCCCCCCCCCCGCCCCCACCCAGGGTGGAGATGAATACAGAGTGAGGGGCAGCCCTGTACTTCCAGGCTTGCCATCCTGCCCCCCATTCCCCACGAGTAAGACCCACAGATCCCAATGCCAGCCGCTTCCTGCGACATCCTCCTAACAAAGGCCAAAGGGCCGTGTGCTTTAGAAGCTAGACATGTCCCTGGAGGTCACAAAGCCAGGCCAGCGTTTTGCTGCCATGCGCTGGCGCCCCCCCCCCCCCCCCAGGACACCCTCTCAGCCGTGCTGTCTCGGTGCTGGGACTGCTGTAGGGGGACTGCATATTCCAGGCCACTGCTGGGACATTGGGCTTTGGGGTCACAAATGGGCTCTACTCTTGGCTTGTGAAGTCGGGTCAGCATCTCCATCTCGAAGCCTCCATGTTCCTGTGTGTGAGAGCAAGACCTGCACCTCACAAGACTGTTGGGAGGACCACGGAGAAGAACCCTAAAACTGCCACCCACCCCCAATACAGTGAACCCTCGCACTTCGAGCTTCGACTTCCGCGGCTTCACTCTATCGCGGTTTTTGCGTAACAGCGCATGCTCTGTCATTACTGCCACTGATTGGCTCATACTGTACACGCTTCTGTCTGCATCGCTACGTATCAGAGCTACGTATCAGATGCATTTTTGCTTTTGTACAGTGTACTGTAATTGTTTGCGATTTTTAAGAAATTTTATCTAAGCCCTATGATGGCTCCTAAACAAGCTGCTTCTTCTAAGCCTTCTGACAATAAAAATAAGTGCCAGAGGAAGATGCTCACCATCCAGGAAAAGGTAAAACTTTTTGTATTTTCCCTTTTTCGTTTAATAAATTGGGTAATACGAGTGTAATGGTGACTAAAGGGTGTTTTTTCATGTCCTCTATGCTCTAACTACGAAAATATTTGATTTACAAATAAGGAATCCTACTTCGCGGAATTTCATTTATCACGGTAGGGTCTAGAACCGATTAACCGCGATAAACGAGGGTTCACTGTACTCCCAACTGGTGCTGGCGACACGACAGGTGCTATTCTTCGGATGAATGAGGACGGTGTCTCCACAACCTCCCCGTGGAAGAACCGCCTCTGGGTGAAGTGGCAAGTCCAGCGTCTCACTGGGGGCAGCACCTCCCCTCGGCCTGCCTCTGGACCCTGTGGAGGAAAGGGTCTGGGCCAGCCCCTTCACTTCGGGGTGGAGGCTGCTGAGGGATGGGTCCATGGTCTGAAGGCTGGGAGCACCGGGTCTGCAGGTGTGCTGGGGGTGGGGGGCTTCCAACGGGCTGTGAGGTCTGGGGATGCCTCTGCAGAGCCTCTGGGCCCCAAATGGGCTGGTTACACTCTTAAACCAAACAGCCAGGCGATATGGACTGGCTAACGCACCCTCCTCTTGAGAAACCTTACAACACAATGTTGTTTAACGGAAGGAAGGCTTGGGCCCAATCCCTCTCCCGGGAACTGGTCAGAGCGGGCAGTGGAGCCAGCTCTGGTGGGCCTCACCTTGCCCCAGTTGGTAGGTGGACCAAGCCACTTCTGAAACCAGCTAACAAAAGGAGGAGCAGGAGGTTGCACACACACACACACACACACACACACACACACACCCTTGGCCTCACCTTCCTGTTGTTCTGTGACCCCAGTGACCCTATAGGTCAGAGTACAACCACCCCACTAGGGATCCAAAGCTGTTATTTGAAAGGCTGCTGTGCCTTTCTCCCTCTGAGAGGCGGGTGGGTTGGAACTGGTGACCTTTCAGTTAGCAGGTGATCACTGTAAGCTCTATGCTGGGCTCCTGAAGCCAGGTGAGCAGGCCTTGGAACAAACAGCATTTAAAGAGCAGACCTGAGCATTCACAGGGTGCAGGCTGGAACCCCGCAAATGCACTCCTGCTCCATTTCAGGAGAGTGGCATTTCCCACGCTGGAAGACACCTTCCCAGGGGTGTTGAGGTCGATTTAAATGATGACAGTTCCATAGCCTCCATTTCTACTCCTTCCCAGGGCAGGCTCGGGTCTGCCCAAGGCCTTCCCCCTACATCCCCATTGGCGTCTCCTTGCGTGGCTCTCCTTGTGCCCATCTTCTCCAACTGGACACCTCAGACGGGATCTGGATGTCCCACCTTCTCCAGCATGACCCCAGCTAATGTGACCACTGGTACACACAGGCCACACTCCCAGGCACCAGGCTGATGACTTCTATACCTCTTGTTGTGGATACCATTCCACAGGGGGCACTGGGGGTGGGGGTGGACCTCCACATGTGACACTGTCAGGGGGGTGATAATGAAAATGACTGACTACAAAACATGCAGTTTCAGCCCAAATTTATTATTAAAACACACCCACACACCGCCTGTCTTAAGTTAGACCACTATACCTACTTCGTTATCTATATGCCTATAGGGTGGCTGAGTCGGGATTGACTTGGCGGCAGTGAGTTTGGTGTGGGTTAGTTATACCAACACACGGCCCAGTTGACATGCATCAGCATACCATCAAGGCTAAACCTCTCTTAGTCCTTCTAAAGAGCGTGGTCAGGGCTGTTATTATGACCCCTGGTGCTGTTGGCACCTGGAGGTGGAACGTCATTGCCAGCTGTCTGTGTCAGGGTTGCCACGGCATTTGGTGATTTACGGAGAGATGGCTCCCGAGTCACATTTTCACTAAACCTGTGACCAAGCATGCTGTGTGGTGTGTCTGTGTGCTGTGTCTGGTGCAGGAGGAGTCGGTGGGGAGGGACACCAGTTCTCCTGGCACCCTGCTATTCAGTCTGTGGCTGAGATGGGTGCCCTTCGTGTGTGGCTCTTTGCACCCAGAGGTGCCGTGGCCCCTGGAAGACCCCTTACTTAAGAGCAGAAACATCTCTTGATGACATCGGACCAGGAGAAGCGGAAGGCTCATTCTGTGAAGCCCCTCTGCTCTCTGGCCTCGCTCCATCCCCAGCTCCTTCGGTCAGCTCTCTGAACCTGGAGCCACTATGTGAACTGCAGCATGCTGTAAGTGCCCAGAATAGGGTCTCAAAGACCTAGCCCCCCCAAATCTCACGAATAATTTCAAAATATTGGTCATCAGTTGAAACAATAATACCTTGTATATACTGGGTCCCATAAACGCACTGAGGTTGGTTTCAGGGTCACCTTGCATTTTTGAACGCAGCCACCAGAAAAAACTGCCTAGCGATGTCATTCTCCTCTGAATTGAGCCCTATCCCCTCACATACTGCCCTGGGGTCCTGGGGCTGCCTGCCTGTCTGCCTGCAGTCCCTCCAACCCAGACCCCAAGCTGGTCCAGACCCCGCTCTCCCGGTCCCACCCTGGTGTGGAGCCCGACCAGACCGCTGCATTCTGGGCCCTGACAGAGAGCACGTGTACAGCGGGCACGAGGGCGGAGCCTAGGGAGCTGAGCCGACCCCAACACTGTCCACTTCGATGGGCAGCATGTGACGGGAACCAGGCGCCACCTCTTTGCTAAGCGCAGACCCTCAGGCTTGCCCTTCCCGGTCGATGGCACGTGTGCGGAGCGGGGCGCTGACCGGTCTCCCCGGATAGGGCTCTCCCCTTCTGAGTGGTCGGCAGGGCTGCTCTGCGCCGCGAGGGGCCACTACTCCCTTGACCTTGGCATCCGCAGGTCCCAGGACGCCGAGAGCCGCAGGGTCCAGGG